ATCATGGCACATTATTGGTCAATTTGCCGTCTATAGTCACGTGATGGTAGAATTTTTATGGCGATACTGGGGTAGTTGGATAACACTGTATACAAAAGCAAAGAAAAGGAAAGTAGTATAGATTTCTAAATTCGGGTCCAATCTTGTAATACTTGTAAAAAGTGCCTATAATATTTCTGAGAAAACAATATTTTAAGATTACATTCTTATTTGAGATCATAAAATTGGTGAATTTGCACAGAGAATAGAAAATTGTCATTATATTGATCCTATTCATACTGCTATTATCCAATAATTACTTGGTCACGTAATACGGAACAGCATGTTTAACCGAATTTTTACGTACGTAGGTACAATACATAGTGTAACGGCAGTATATGAAGTACCCACTGAAATTACAGATAAAAATAAATATTAAATTTTAATTTTTTTAGGTCAGAAAAAATATCTTAAGTTAAACCACTCATAATCACTTAAGAAAATGAGTTGGGTGTGCAACAAATATTCATGGAAAATTTGTGAAACTCTTAACAAATATACAGATAAATGTAGTGGTTGTGGTTTAATGGTAAAGAATGAAGATAAAAAGATTATCAGTAGAAGCGCAGGCAAACAATGGTGTTGTCCAAAAATTTTATTAGAAGAGTCTGGTACCAAAAATGATCGTTTGGATAAGCAATGTAATTACTGTGAGAGGTGAGTTTCGACGAGAGATTTATTGATGCTTAAAATTTCAAATTAATTGCTAATTTTTATAAATTTTACCAGTAAAAAGCTAAAACAAGTCTTTTCTTCGTTAAATTAATTAAGTGCCTTTATTTATGCGACTTCTTTTGTGCTTAATTACAGGAAGTAAGTAGAGTTCAACAAATATAAAAAATGGTGTAATTCCTTTTTCATACTCAAAACCTCATAATAATTCTATGTTAAATAATAACTTGGTTTTCTAGCTCGTAAATATAAATTTTCTTTACATTTTTTCTTAGCATTAAAATTTATAGATAGATATAATAATTATTCAATTTTTTATTCTAATAAGGTAGCTTAACATACAAATGAGAACTGATCTAGCATCTCATTAATTTATTGTGAAACATTTAATATACAGTATAGGCAATTGACTCGCATTAGCTAATCAAACAAAAGTTTACAAAGCATCATATACGTAATAAATTGTCTTTGACGATCAGTGATTATCATTTAATCAACCCAATGAGAAAAAAAATAAAAAATGCCAAATATCAGGTAAATATGCAACTTAATTTGCACCGGGTTACCAATTTTTGCGTCTAAAATTCCTTTTTATTATCGGTAGTTATTGCAACTACGACATTTCTTACGGTTTCATTTTTTTTGCATTCTAATTATGCCGGTGATCTATGTGCATGATGAATTCATGTGTGAAAAATAACCAAAATTTGATGAATAAATCACGCGGACCAATAAAACTTAAGATTTTGCCGACGCCTCCCACTTATTGTTTCATATAAACCATATACTTCGTAATTTCATCACTCCGTTCCTAGTGTAAGTATTTTAACTCGGTTCCAATCAACTCTCAGACAATCACTTAATAGACACCACATTTCACCGACAATTATTCGACAAGTTCATTTCACCGACAGTTTATTTCACCAAAGCTCATTTCACAGACAAAGTAGGTTTAGCTATTGTCGTTAGGGTCAGGTTAGAATTAGAGTTAAAGTTAGTGTAATTTATAAAAAAAAACTTATCAGCAAAATGAGCTTCGGTGAAATGAACTTGTCGGTGAATAATTGTCAGTTAAATGTGGTGTCTATGAAGTGATTGTCGGCGAAATAATACGGATCTTTTTAACTTACCTTATTTGACTTATCTAATAAACTTTGTGTTCGTGTCAATATTTTAAGCTCCACTTTATATGATGGTATACGTGACTGTGTATATCTATATTCATATTCAGCTTTATCGTCATATTTTATAGATTGTATTCCATCTAACCACGTCGTTAAAACTTTATCACCAATATTTTGAACATAAACTAATCTATTAAAAGGAATCCATTCGATTACATCGTCATTAGTAGCTTTAAGTTGAAATTTTTTAATGCAATCATCAATATCTTTATTCCCACTTGTCCATTCTTGTGTTGTCTTCTGAGGGTCGCATATTTGGCACCAGGTTGGTGATGTGTTATATTGCTTGCGATTTGCACATTTTTCATTCAAATTATATCTTTTATAAATAAATTCTGTGATTGCATTTTGGTTTATCCATAGACACATATACGCAGCTTATGCTCTAACCGACTATCTAATTGTACATGATTTTTAAACTTATATAAAATACGTATATAAAATCAATATAAGTATAATCACAAGCATAAAATCAATATAAGTATAATCACAAGAATAAAATCAATATAAGTATAATCACAAGCATAAATTAGTATAAGTATGAATTAAGTATATTAATTAAATAAACTACGCATAACAATAATAAAATGATATGAACTCATTTATTTTAAAATATTTTGAATACTTGCTGTTCCTGTCAATATTTTAAGTGTAATTATGCTTGCCGGTGTGCATGACTGTGTATATTCATTTATACGTTTATTATAATTATATTTATCTAACCATGTTGCTAAAAATCCATCACTATTCTTTTGAATATTAAATAATCTATGAAAAGGAATCCACTCAATCACATCTTCATATGACGTAGCGTTAAATTGAATTTCTTTAATACAATCATCGACATCTTTATTCCCACTTGTCCATCCTTGTGCTATCTTCTTAGGGTCGCATGTTTGACACCAACCACGAGATGTGTTATATCGTTTGCATTTTGCACATTTTACATAACCTTCATACCTCTTAGAACTAAATTCATCAACCAGATGTTATTGTACAGAGAAATTAATTGTCAGGTTGCGTTATATAATATATAAATGAATTTTTTTATCGAAGTGTAGTATAGTTCAAACTACATATAATGGATACTGATAAAATACGTTTCATTATGACTTTTGAGTTCGAATATATATGCTTCTGATTGCTTATTTTTAGAGATGGGTGATTGTCAATACTTATTATTACTCATCATTAAGATGATGTCTGGAAGGAAAAAATGTTTATAAAAATTTACCATATTTTCCTAAGCCCACAGACTGAATTAGTATCGATATGTAATTTAAAAGAGTGTTATCGTTATACGTATTTGAATATATTTATAATTCAATCTGGGGATCAATCTGGTTTTATTAGGCCCAATCCGATCCCACGGTTCAGATCAGATGATAATCCGAATCCGTCCGGATTTTCGGAACACTAGTTTATTGGTTACACGACATACCAGAATTTTACATTTTTATTAATCAAAAATTTTGGTAAGTTTTTTTAATAACTATCTGATCAAATTTGATGAAATTTTTTATATATTTCTAAATATTTTTTATTGAATTTGAACTGATAGTTGTTAAAAAAACTTCATTGGACAATTAAATGTACAACACAAAATAGTGTCAGAGGTAAAACCGACATCTCATGAACCTGCGAAATGGACGTTGACACGAGCGAAACGGCGAGTCAGTCGCTTGTCAATCGGATATGTCGTGTAACCTACGAACGGCTTAGTCGATAAGAGGCGGTT